GTAAACAAATATCTACTGAATGATAAAGTGTAATTTTTTGTTTGTTTGATAAATGTCTAACTTATTTGAAAAGCCCAAAAATTAAAATTATGAAACTAAAATCTAATTTATAAAAGGATTGACAATATTTGCAATTCTTCCAGATAGAGATTTTATAATTATTGATACATCCAATTTTAAGGTAATCATTGTAAATGATAACAAGAAGATTATTCATTTTTGAGTTTTACATCTAAAAGAATTATATAAAATAAATTTTATTAAATTGATTAAAAAGGAATTTTCTAATGGTCTGATTTGAGCTTTAACTTTTTGATATATGTGTTAAGCAATTATAAGCAGAATAGTGTTTAAATAAATTATGTACCCTACTAAACAAACAAAAAGGAAAAGAGGATCAAAAAAAATTGCTTTTTGATTTAAAAAAATTTGGGTAAGCTGTTGTTGTAGTGCTAATCTGGTATAATTAGAAAGCAAGGAAGGAAATAATATATTAAATTCATATAGGCATGAAATATAATTTATTGTTAATCTAATCCAAACAGAATTATATCCTTCTACAGAATTTTCGATCAGAATATTTTCATTTGTTTGTTTTTAGGAATAACAAAATAGAGTATCAATTAGATTATCAACTAAAACATAAATGTGAAATGTAATTATACAAATGTCATAAGAAAATCTCTAATGAAAAGTAAATGAATAGAGTACCTAAAAATATCAGTATAAATAAAAAATTGGATTAAAAATTTTTAATATATTTTAATAAAGTATATTTAATGAAAGTGTTTACGTGTTAAGATATCGAGCATGAAGGAGAAACTATTTAAGGATTCTGTTTAAATGCAAGATGTAAAGATTCAAAACCTCAGTTCTGTCTATAATGTGGATATGATCCTAAGAAACACCCTAATTGCAAGAAAGATCTAAAAGGATTTGATTAAATTTAAAGTTTTATCACGAAATTCAATTAGAATATACTTGATTTAGCAACATAATTGAATAAATCCTTTGCACAAGTGAAAATAAAATATGAAGAATTCTCAATATAATTGGAGAATATGAAAATATAATTAGTTAAGATTTCTGAATGTTTTAGCCAATAAGATTATTCATAAATGAAAGCCAATTTGTAAGTGATAAAAGAATGGTATCAATATTTAAATAATTAAGAGGAGATCATGAAGTAGAATTAAATTGGTATTTTATATAAGTAATATTTATAGGGACTTAATTAGTTAGAATAAAAAAAATGATTTAGGCTTTGGATTTAGGCTTTGGATTTAGATAAAGGAGTATAATAAATTATAGATAATAAACAAGATAATAACAACCCTCTCTACTAAGGTATTCTAGTGTTTTTAAATAAAATTAGGAATATAATTATTAAATTAGTAGAAATGGTAGGAGGCTAATGAAAAAATTACTGAATACATAGAATTATCAGAAAAATAATAATCGTTGGGAACTTTCTTTAAAAGTATTTTTGATTCTTTTATATATAATTAGGTATTGCTTTAATTGAAATGTAATAACCAGGATAAGGAATGATTATGAGGGAATAGGCGAAAAAGATTAATAATAACTTGTATAGAGATCTATTAGATTATTCGAATGAATAATTAAGGAAAAACCCATAAAATACATTTATTTTAATCGCAAAAAGTAATTGAAATATTAATTTACATAGGCTATACATTAAACGAAGTAAAGTAATTCTAATAGGCTATTGAGTTATGCGAATAGGTTTTAAGAGAGGATCCTTAACATCTTCATGCTTTATATACAAAAAGTAATCATTTATATTAAAAAATAGGCTTTTCTTTAGATGAATTGAAACAGCATTCATAAGCAATTGTGTTTATTGATGTAGCTCTAAAATTGAATCCATAGTATATTATTGGTTATTTTAATAAAGGTTTAAAATATCTTGATTTATTAGGAAGAACCTTACTTTTTCTAAAGTAATATAGCGATGCAATTGTCTGCTATGATAAAGCAATCCAATTAGATTCCACTTATGCAATGGCCTATATGAATAAAGGTTTGCAATTTTTTAATTGTATTAGGCGTAGCTTTACATAATCTTAAATAATATGACGATGCAATGGCTTAATATGATAAAGTAATCCAACTAGATCCCACTTTCGCAATGGTCTATATGAATAAAGGTTTGCATTTTTTTGATTATATTAGGTTTAGCCTTAGATAAACTTAAATAATATAACGATGCCATGGCTCACTACGATAAAGCAATCCAACTAGATCCCTCTCATGCAAAGGCCTATTTGAATAAAGGTTTGCAATTTTTTTGATTTTTTTAGGTTTAGCCTTACTAAATTTTCTTCAGAAATATAACGATGCAATTGTTTACTATGATAAAGCAATCCAACTAGATCCCACCTATGCAAAGGCCTATAAAAAAAAAGGTTTGCAAAATTTTTGATTGTATTAGGGGATGTATTAAAAATAATCAAGAATTACTCTTTAGCTTTAAAGAATTATGAACAGGCAATCTTAAACTGTCAATCAGATTAGGAGGAATTTAAACGTTTAATTGTGGAATTAAAAAATCAAAAATGATTATTTTGAGATTTTGATTAATACATTTAATTTAAATGAAAATTGTCGTTAATACTATTCTCTGCAAAACAATCCTCAAAAAAATGAAGATAATGTTGATATTGAATATGAAGTTTTTTTGTTAATCTTTAACTCCATCTCTTTTCACATACTTCTATTTTAAAATGTTATTAACATTTTATTGTTTATTCTCCAGCTATCATCCTTTTTTGATAGTTACTACTTTTTAATTTACTTTGAAATTTTCATTTTTATTTTTTATTTAATATCGATTAATTATATTACTGCCTACTCTTCTTAGGAAATATATTATCTAAATGCCCTAATAACTTTGCTATTTTTGGTAATTTATCCCTCCAATCCAAAATACACATTTCAATATTTTCAAGAATCTATCTGAATTTGCTATTGTAAACAATTTAGCAAATATACTTTTTGAAAATNCTTGTATAGAGATCTATTAGATTATTCGAATGAATAATTAAGGAAAAACCCATAAAATACATTTATTTTAATCGCAAAAAGTAATTGAAATATTAATTTACATAGGCTATACATTAAACGAAGTAAAGTAATTCTAATAGGCTATTGAGTTATGCGAATAGGTTTTAAGAGAGGATCCTTAACATCTTCATGCTTTATATACAAAAAGTAATCATTTATATTAAAAAATAGGCTTTTCTTTAGATGAATTGAAACAGCATTCATAAGCAATTGTGTTTATTGATGTAGCTCTAAAATTGAATCCATAGTATATTATTGGTTATTTTAATAAAGGTTTAAAATATCTTGATTTATTAGGAAGAACCTTACTTTTTCTAAAGTAATATAGCGATGCAATTGTCTGCTATGATAAAGCAATCCAATTAGATTCCACTTATGCAATGGCCTATATGAATAAAGGTTTGCAATTTTTTAATTGTATTAGGCGTAGCTTTACATAATCTTAAATAATATGACGATGCAATGGCTTAATATGATAAAGTAATCCAACTAGATCCCACTTTCGCAATGGTCTATATGAATAAAGGTTTGCATTTTTTTGATTATATTAGGTTTAGCCTTAGATAAACTTAAATAATATAACGATGCCATGGCTCACTACGATAAAGCAATCCAACTAGATCCCTCTCATGCAAAGGCCTATTTGAATAAAGGTTTGCAATTTTTTTGATTTTTTTAGGTTTAGCCTTACTAAATTTTCTTCAGAAATATAACGATGCAATTGTTTACTATGATAAAGCAATCCAACTAGATCCCACCTATGCAAAGGCCTATAAAAAAAAAGGTTTGCAAAATTTTTGATTGTATTAGGGGATGTATTAAAAATAATCAAGAATTACTCTTTAGCTTTAAAGAATTATGAACAGGCAATCTTAAACTGTCAATCAGATTAGGAGGAATTTAAACGTTTAATTGTGGAATTAAAAAATCAAAAATGATTATTTTGAGATTTTGATTAATACATTTAATTTAAATGAAAATTGTCGTTAATACTATTCTCTGCAAAACAATCCTCAAAAAAATGAAGATAATGTTGATATTGAATATGAAGTTTTTTTGTTAATCTTTAACTCCATCTCTTTTCACATACTTCTATTTTAAAATGTTATTAACATTTTATTGTTTATTCTCCAGCTATCATCCTTTTTTGATAGTTACTACTTTTTAATTTACTTTGAAATTTTCATTTTTATTTTTTATTTAATATCGATTAATTATATTACTGCCTACTCTTCTTAGGAAATATATTATCTAAATGCCCTAATAACTTTGCTATTTTTGGTAATTTATCCCTCCAATCCAAAATACACATTTCAATATTTTCAAGAATCTATCTGAATTTGCTATTGTAAACAATTTAGCAAATATACTTTTTGAAAATGAGAAAACCTTTCAAACTAAGTTGAAGATTGAAATAAATTTTGAAATCCCTTGTATCCTTGAAATTTGCCACAATTCTAACAGCACATAAATAAAGTAAAATTTGCTTTAATTTTTTTAAATTCATTTTTTAATATATCCTTTTTTCCTTCTAATGATATTACTAATAACCATACTAATAATCTCGATTATAAATATCTATATTTTAATTTGATAACTAAAAAAGTCATTAAAATTAAAAAGCTAATTGGGATGAATTATAAAATTTAGAAATTAATTAGATTAAGAGTTTCGATTCTAATAATCTTCCAAATTAAATGTTGATGATCACCTAAATAATAATAAACGTATGTCATAATCAAAATCAACATCATGATTAGTTATTTCATCTACATTACTCTGCGTAGTTATCAAAAAGGTTGTATTTGATAATTACAACATTATAAAACAATTGTTGAAGTGCAAACTTGTAGATATTTATGCAGAGGTTGGGTGGGTTCTTATCAAGGTAGTCTAACTTATTAATTATTAAGAAAAAGGGAAAAGGGAATTTAGAAAACATATAATTTATAAAATTTATGGTGAGAAACTGGCATGATCTACTAGGAACGGTTTACAAAGATCAGAAAGGCGATACAACAATAGTTTTGTATTGAAAATATCAAAGGTAATAGAAGTGTAATTAGATTGAAACCATACTCTAGAAAGAGAAAAAATGTTATTTATCAGAAGAACTTCTGAATTAATATTAATCAAAGGGCACTATTTCTTTTAGGAATAGATTTGGAAAATGATAAAAGTTGAAGATGAAATTAGTTGGATGAAATATTTTAAGTGATATAAGAACAGTAAAGGATATTGAGAGATCGAAAAAAGAGAGCAATTAATTCCTGCTATACTCAAAGTGCCAAAAATGAAATTGTTGACACTTTGGTTTGTTGTAGGAAAATGCTTCGATGAACATCAAAAGAAATTTGATAATTCTTGGGATTATAAGAATAAAGGAAAAAATAAGGATTTATTGACCACTTTTAACTTATTCATGATAAAAATTATCAGTTATGTATTGGTAATAAGAGAAGAAATGTGAGAATGATAATTATAGGTATGGGATAGAGTAATTTATGAATGAGAAATAGTTCTATTTAGGAGAAAATAGTCGAAAGCTAGTCATATAAATGTGATTATAAAAAAGGGAATGTTTTAATGGATAACTACTAGAATTCTAGTAGGTTTGAATTATATTGACTTTTTTGAAATGAACGATCAACCTCAGCTAATATAAAACAATTTCCTAAGGTTAAACAAGATAGTTAAAAAGAAATAGACATATAAATTGAATATATGGAGACTATTTAGAAAAGAAACTTGCTGATGGTTTATTGAGGACCAAGAATAAATTGTCAAGTATATTAATTAAATTTTTTGATTGATCTCTTAATTGACAGATACATTTGTATAAAAGTCTGATATGAGAAAATCATCCTAAGGTTAAAGATCTCAAATAAAAATTAGGGTTTGGACATATAGAATGATTTTATTACAGTAACAAAATTCCTTATAACATCAATCCAGATCATTGATTGATGGGAAGTAACTAGATAAACCTTTTGTTTAAAATTTTGATTAGATTTATTTCTCGAAGAAAGTAAGGTTCAATTATTTCCAATATTCAGTTCAACTCAATTAAATAAATTTTGATTTACCTAATCTCTCTTTAACTGTAAACATATTGCTTTATTCAAGTTTGTGCCATAGAAGCATAAAAACGCATAATTGATTCCGGTTCTAGGGGAATCTAGAAACATATCCATAATTTCCTCAAGAAGCCTTTTTTAACGTGGCTATCTAATCAAATTAAAACAATAAATTTGCACACCATATAATTGGGCAGATGAGAAAGTTCATTCTCTTATTTTAATTTGAATTCAGAAATAATTTTACTATAAAAATGTTGAATTTTCTTTTGACTAATTATGCACATTTTACAATTGAATAGTCCCCCATCATATTGCAAACTGGAGCTCTGGCAATGAGGATCGAAACTAAATTTTCTAATCTTTCAAAATAAGATTCAATTTAATACGATTCTTAAATATAATACAATATTCTAACAAACTCACTTTTATAATAATAAGGATAGCTAAAACCAATATTTAAATGTTTGTTTAAAAAATTCCCTTCTCATAGTCAATTTAAAATAATAACTTTATTATAGTTTGAAAAGTTTCTTTGAAGTTCTTTGAGATTCAAAAATTAATTCCTTTATCGCCCTGATTATCTTCAAAAAAATAGTTAAACCAATATCATTCCTTAGATACCCACTGAATATTTACTAACAATGTAGATAAAACATAAAGAAGTAGAAACACAAATATTTTATCAAAAATTTAGAATCTTAAGGTGATCTGTGTACAAATTATAACTAAAGAACTTGTTTTACAGAATTTTCAATTGATTTTACCCAAGGACAATAACTAACAAGAGTCTAGATACTATTGCTGAGTAGCTAGATAGATGATCAACTCGAAGAAATTTATTTTTAAGAAATTGTATCAATGTAATTATATCTAAAACCAATATTTCTTGAATGGATTCTTTTATATAAGATACTAATAATTGTATCAATGTTGAAATTATTGACCATTGAAGAAAAAAGAAGGTTCTAAAAAAAGAGAAGAAGATGTATTATTATAAGATTCTATTTAGTTTTACTAAAACAACTAATTTATAACAAATTCTTATTATGGATTAAGTTTATATTCTGTTATTTTGCGCCTACTTAGAAATAAGTGAAAAGAAAATAGAAGAAAAAATAAGCAAAGGAATGTTTCTTTCTAAGTTTTATAAATAAATTTCAGACTTTAGATTTGATTTATCGTAAGATGATAATGTTTTCATTTCAGATGATAACAAGTGATCAATTATCATATCCAATCTATCATATAAAATGATTTTATTTGAGTATGTTTGATAATTACAAACCATTTTGAGATGTATTTAGAGCAAATTGATTTGATTAGTATTATAGTATTATAAATAGAAAGTATATAAATAATTGTTTGAGATTAATAAATTAATTGAAAGTAATAGAGAAATGAATAAAAAGATAGGAATAATGAGTGATGTTTATCAAGAAAAGATGATGGAATGTTTTGAAGATGTATAAAATTAAATAGAAGTAATATTTGTGATTAATCAATTTATTAGTCTTCATTCAACAAAGTGGACTCTTATTTAGATTCACTTCTTAATGATACTTCTGATTCTTTCAATGTGAATACTTTTTAACTACATCCTTTTGTACCTCCTTCAATTCAATTTCACAATTCGAACTTTCTTTAGTCATTATATTAAGTCATATAACCATTAATCAAACTTAATATTAACAATTAATTAGAACTCAAACATCAATCATTAAATCAAACTACTCAATTAAATCTCAAACCATTCACTTATCAATTAATCCCATAATATTCAATTTCATAAACTGAATGGTGTTATGCAATAGCTATTAATAAAGATTGTTCAATATTATTGGCTGGATGTTATAGTCAAATAAAAGTATTTGAATTCAAGTAAGGAATCACCAAGCAAACTTAAATTTTAAGTGATCATAAGGATGGAGTATATACTTTAAACTTCATGAAGAAATCAAATTAGTTTATATCTGGGAGTTCTAAATCTATGATTATATGGTAATTAAATTACAATAATTAATGGATTTCATAATACATATTCAATGGACATACTAGTTCTATTATTTGTCTAATATTAAATAACAATGAAGATTTAATTGTATCAGGAAGTTGTGATAATACAATTAAATTTTGGATGAATAAGAATGAATGGTCCTGTTAGTAAACAATTAAAGATCATTCTGGTTATGTATATGGTTTGAGTTTGAATTAATAATAAAATAGAATTGTATCTTGTGGTTCTGATAAATTGTTATTAATAATGGAACAATAAGGACAGAATAAAGATTGGATTGTTATCTAAAAGATTACAGTAGAATAAATTGCATATAGAGTATGCTTTATAGATAATAATATGTTCACATTATCATTACATGGGAAAGAATAGATATCTGTTTTTGAGATGAACAGTATTAATCAATAGTTTACAAAGACTACAGATATTAATGTAAAATGTGGATAATACGATGATTGCTTATTTGCTTAATAATATATAAATTCAAAATGTATTGTTGTGAGTAAGAATGGGGAATATGTAAATTTTATAACGAAAACATCAAATGGACACTTTGTAACTCAATAATCTATTCATTTTAATACACATCTCTTATATGGAGGAATGAGTGATAATGGAGAGTATTTGATCACTTGGGAT